GAGAACCAATCAAATGTTAGTAACTGCCAGTAGAAGCTGACATCATGTTTACACTTGAAACAATTCATTATTTTGCTTTGTTCTGTAGAAGGAGGACCTGTTTCTTATACAATGCAATTACAAGTAGGAATTTTTGTAAAAATTTTAATATTTAGTCAAGAAGCAATGACATCAAATAAAAGAGTAGATTTGACACCTAGAAAGAGATGTAATATTATTGTGTTACGAGAAAGTGGTCTTTCCTATGCTGAAATTGCAAGACAGGTGGGTGGTTCACTGACTACATCTGGAGTCCGAAAGTTTTGTTTACGATATCAGGAGACAAATTCAATAAAAAACAAAGAAGGAAAAGGCCGAAAAAGGGCATCACATCTATTGATGACAGAAGAATAAAAAGACTATGTCTCCAAGATAGAAAAATGTCATCAGCGGCCATCAGAAGTGATCTGAATGATGCTGGTGTTTGTGTCAGTTCAAGAACAATCAGGAGAAGATCAACAAATGTTGGACTGGATTCCACGAAAAAAGCCTTATATTAATTTTCAGCAACGAAAAAAAAGACTACAGTGGGCAAAGGAACCTTAATTGGGGGGGGGGGGGGGGGGGGGGGGGTATGGGGGGGGGGGGGGGGGGGGGCGGGGGGGAGGGGGGGGGGGGGGGAGGGGGGGGGGGGGGGGGGGGGGGGTGGGGGGGGGGGGGGGGGGGGGGGGGGGGGTGGGGGGGGGGGGGGGGGGGGGGGTGGGGGGGGGGGGGGGGGGGGGGGGGGGGGGGGGGGGGGGGGGGGGGGGGGGGGGGCGGGGGGGGGGGGGGGGGGGGGGGGGGGGGGGGGGGGGGGGGGGGGGGCGGGGGGGGGGGGGGGGGGGGGGGGGGGGGGGGGGGGCGGGGGGGGGGGGGGGGGGGGGGGGGGGGGCGGGGGGGGGGTGGGGGGGGGGGGGGGGGGGGGGGGGGGGGGGGGGGTGGGGGGGGGGGGGGGGGGGGGGGCGGGGGGGGGGGGGGGGGGGGGGCGGGGGGGGGGGGGGGGGCGCGGGGGGGGGCGGGGGGGGGGGGGGGGGGGGGGGGGGGCGGGGGGGGGGGGGGGGTGGGGGGGGGGGGGGGGGGGGGGGTGGGGGGGGGCAGGGGGGGGGGGGGGGGGGGGGGGGGGGGGAGGGAGGGGGGGGCGGGGGGGGGGGGGGGGGAGGGGGGGGGGGGGGGGGGGGGTGGGGGGGCGGGGGGGGGGGGGGGGGGGGGGGGGGGGGAGGGGGGGGGGGGGGGCGGGGGGGGGGCTGGGGGGGGGGGGGGGGGGGGGGGCGGGGGGGGCGGGGGCGAGGGGGGGTGGTCGGGGGGAAGAGGGGGGGGGGCGGGGGGGTGGGGGGGCGGGGGGGGGGGGGGGGGGGGGGGGGGGGTGGGGGGGGGGGGGGGGGGGGGGGGTGGGGCGGGGGGTGGGGGGGGGGGGTGGGGGGGGGGGGGGGGGGGGGGGGGGGGGGGGGGGGGGGGGGGGGGGGGGGGGGGGGGGAGGGGGGTGGGGGGGGGGGGGGGGGGGGGGGGGGGGGGGGGGGGGGGCGGGGGGGCGGGGGGGGGGGGGGGGGGGGGGGGGGGGGGGGGGGGGGGGGGGGGGGGGGGGGGGGGGGGGGCGGGGGGGGGGGGGGGGGGGGGGGGGGGGGGGGGGGGGGGGGGGGGGGGCGGGGGGGGGGGGGGGGGGGGGGGGTGGGGGGGGCGGGGGGGGGGGGGGGGGGGGAGGGGGGGGGGCGGGGGGGGGGGGGGGGGGGGGTGGGGGGGGGGGGGGGGGGGCCGTGGGGGGTGGGGGTGGGGGGGGGGGGGGGGGGGGGGGGGGGGGGGGGGGGGGGGGGTGGGGGGGGGGGGGGGGGGGGGGGGGGGGGGGGGGGGGGGGGGGGGGTGGGGGGGGGGGGGGGGGGGGGGTGGGGGGGAGGGGGGGTGGGGGGGGGGGGGGGGGGGGGGGGGGGGGGGGGGGGGGGGGGCGGGGGGGGGGGGGGGGGGGGGGGGGGGGGGGGGCGGGGGGGGGGGGGGGGGGGGGGGGGGGGGGGGGGGGGGGCGGGGGGGGGGGGGGGGGGGGGGGGGGGGGGGGGGGGGGGGGGGGGGGGGGGGGGGGGGGGGGGGGGGGGGGGGGGGAGGGGGGGGGGGCGGGGGGGGGGGGGGGGGGGGGGGGGGGGTGGGGGGGGGGGGGGCGGGGGGGGGGGGGCGGGGGGGGGGGGGGGGGGGGGGGGGGCGGGGGGGGGGGGGGGGGGGGGGTGGGTGGGGGGGGCGGAGGGGGGGGGGGGGGGGGGGGGGGGGGGGGGGGGGGGGAGGGGGGTGGGGGGGGGGAGGGGGGTGGGGGGGCGGGGGGGGGGGCGGGGGGGGGGGGGGGGGGGGGGGGGGGGGGGGGGGGGGGGGGGGGGGGGGGGGGGGGGGGGGGGGGGGGGGGGGGGGGGGGGGGGGGGGGGGGGGGGGGGGGGGGGGGGGGGGTATACGGTGGTGATGGGCCGAAAATATGTAAGACTTAGAATAGGAGAAGAGCTACATCCTGACTGCATTCAAGCAACTGTGAAGAACCCAGTTAGTGTTATAATTTGGTCATGCATGTCAGCAGATGGTATTGGTCACCTTCATGTCATCGATGGGACACTGAATGCCAGAAAATACATTGACACTATTCTAGAACCAAAACTTCTAACTTCCATCAGAGATCTCTTTTCCAACAATGCTTCGTTTATTTTTCAGCAGGATTCTGCTCCTTGCCACACGGGCAAAATATCGAAAGAGTGGTTTCGTACAAAGAGCATTAAATTGTAATCATGGCCAGGAAACAGTCCTGACCTCAATCCTATCGAAAATTTGTGGCACCGTTTGAAAACTCTTGTCCGAATGAGGCGCCCATTAAATAAACGGGAACTAATTGAGGCTATAATTGTTTCCTGGAATCATGTAATAACGAAAGAAGAGCTTAAAACTCTTGTCAGCTCAATGAAACGTCGATGTGAATCTGTAATCAAAAATAAAGGATACCCTACTAAGTACTGATACCTCACTGCAATCATCACTATCTAATGTATATCGATAACTATTATCGTTTAATTTTTTTGTATTGCAAATAATTGAATTTTGTGTTTTGTATTGAATTCAGTAATAAATTCTCTTTAAAATAAATGATTTATACAAGTTTGCATTTTGTGAAACGTAACGTTTTCTATAAGCATACAAAGTTCAAAAACATAAAAATTTCCAAAAGTGTCCACAATTTTGGCCACCACTGTATATATTCGCACATAAGAAGTAAATCAGTACTGGGTCCGAACAAAGGGGCTAAACTTCAATTACATTAAGCATGCTCATTGCCTTTTACATTGTTATGCGCTCGTGTTAAATGAATACCTAATACATGAAAGAATGTTTCAGATGATATAGTAAATATGTGAAATTTATTAAATTCAGAGAATCAAATTCAAGATTATTTATTTTGTTGTGAAGTGAATTTCCGTGGACCTTAACACTTTGCTTCTATATTTAAAAGTGCGTTGGCTTCCTCAAGGAAAGCTCCTGAGCCAAAGTTTTTGAGTTAAAAAATGAAATTAAAAAACATTTTAATGATTGTAAACAGGATTGCGCTTCAAAATTGTTTTTTGAAATGTGATTGCAAACCATTTTCAGTTTAGAAGATGTCATCGTTGTCTTAAAGAAGCTAATATATACCTTCTTGGATTTACGATGCGTTATTTAAAGTTAGGCATCTGGTCATTATATTCCACAGACAATGTTTAGATTAGGACAATGCAGAGATTAGAGGACAGTGTTTCAAAAATATGAAGAGTTTTCTGTTGAAAATAAATGAAAATTTGGCACCAGTGTTAAAAAGCACATTTAGAGACATTTAACTGTTGGAAGATGTAAAAATATTTCGATTGAAAAACTGAAATATAATAGGAGGACCGGAAAGTAATGTCGTTTCTGCGCATGCCGACAACAACATGCTCTAAGAGCAGAAGTGGAAGCCAATCCATGTCAAACACTCTTAACCAACCTTGGTCGATCCTCCAAGAACATTTAAAGCAGAATGGAAAAATAAGCAAAGCAGGTGTTTGAGTCCCCCATAATCTGTCCGAAAAGAACAAAGCCAACCTTTCCATCACATGCAACGTATTGCTTCAACGGCACCCTACAGAACCCTATTTTGATCGTTTGACTAATGGAGACGAAATCATAAGTCCTATATGATAATACAAAGCTCAAAAGGCAGTTTTAATAGGGGTTACAAAGGGTTTACATCCCGAAAAGGCGTTTCTGGGTGTTTGATGGAGTAGTCGCGGAATTGTTCATTTTGAAGTGTTGAAACCTGGACAAACTAATAATGCAGACCTTTATTGTGGACAACTGGATGCAGTGAACCTATCTTTAATCGAAAAATATCAATTGTCAACAGAAAAGGCGTCATTCTGCAACACGACAATGCAAGACCGCACTCTGCAAGACGACCACTGGAAAAAAATGAATGAATTGGGGTGGAAGGGTACTGCCATACTCACCCGCCATCCTCGGCCGATATCGCAGCATTGGATTTCCATTCATTCGAATTCCTAGAACATTTTCTTAGTGGCAAAGAATTTGAAAATTTGGATGACGTCCAAAATGTCCTCTCGAGATATTTTACTCAAAAACCAATTGATTTTTGTCGGTCCGGGATTGAAAATATGCACATTGGATGGCACAAGGTTGTTGATAACGAGGGTGATTATATTATTGATTAAATATAAAAAACTTGTTAAAAATGTATTCGTTTGAATTTAATGTAAGAAAGCGACATTACTTTCTGGTATCCCTATTATTATTTGCTTAAACATTTTTTTTTTTTTAAATTACAACAACTCGGACTATTTTCCAGTGTAAGATATAGAACAATAAACTGACATCTCAACAAACCTGATATAAAATGCCGTTAAAGAATTTAGCCCATGAAATGTTTGGTGACATTTTTAGTGCAACAACCGTTAAAAATATGAGTTGAATAAAGTAAGTTTTGTTTTATTTTCCAGGCTGACGTCCAGGAAGTTGTCGCAGCCCTTCAGGCGAAACCTGAACCCGAGATCGAAGTGGATGAACCATTAGATATCTCATGGCCAACAACCAACAAGAAACGAATCACGTACATCCTCATGGCTCCAATCATCTTCCCTCTTTGGCTCACACTTCCCGATGTCAGACGAGATGTGAGTCACTTTTCAGCTGTTTTGAGTTAATCTGCAGCTTCTAAATCTCTTTACATTTGCCAGATATCAGATTTTCTTGAATACAGCATCCTAACGTAGACCACAAGACGAGTTATCGCTAACGCAATTATCAGGAATTAACAATTATAGTATTGTGTACAACTGTGAAACCATAACCGATGGTTTAACTTAGGACAATGCGCAATATAAAACTTGGAGATTTCGTTAACTTGCGTACATGTGTAATATTTAATGGCTTACCCAGGCTAAGAAGTTTCTAATTTTATCTCAGTAGTGTGTTAGATACCTGAATGTCCTCTGTTTCTTGGAGTTAAACCTACTCGTGGAAACACAGGCTCATTCCCAACCAACTAGCGACGCAGGAATATTCTTCCGACAATGACGAGTACTTTCGCATCAAAGAATGAACCTCATTAATAATGTGATACTTCTTTGGCGAAATGAAGCAACTCCAATGATGGAACACAGCAATAACTTTTATTTAACACTCAAAAAAAAAAAAAATGGCGACATACAAACAAGAAGAGAAAACATATTCTATCATTTAAAAATAAATTACATTTTTCGTGCGATAGTCGCACGTGGCACTCGAGTCTGGTTTCAAATATTGCCATACACAAATACCTTAATGTTCATCTATTTAAATTGTTTAAACTACAAGATTTTAATATTATTTAAAGCTGTTACAATAATAACTAAAATACGTAGCGTATTCGGAAGCTAAGAACCGTTTCATTCAAGCGCCGTCGCAGCGCTGTGGTAGGCGTCCCGCGCATGGGCACTAGTCTTTCTTGTTCACTGACTTTCAATTGTCGCCACTTTGGTTGCTCTATGTTGTGTTTTCAGTTTGCTATGCACATTCAAAATGTTTAAGACAATTAGTTCTCCCGCTGATGTGACATTCGTGCCGTGACTAAATTTTTGAACGCGAGGAATATTAAACCGGCCGAAATTTATCGTCAAGTGACAGAAGTTTAAGTTGAATACGCGATAAGTGATGGAATGGTGAGAAAGTGGGTAAGAATGTTTAATGCAGGTAGAACAAATGTCCACGCCGAGGCTCGGAGTGGTCGGCCTTCTGTTGTCACCGATGATTTGGTAAGGAAAGTTGATGAAGCAATTCATGAGAACAGACGCTTCACAATCACAACTCTTTCAGAGGCATTTCCAGAAATTTCACGTACTGTTTTGTTCGAAATTGTGTCTGACCGCTTGAATTATCGCAAACTGTGTTCCCGATGGGTTCCAAAAATGCTCACTGATGTTCACAAAACAAAGCGACTTGGTAGTGCCCTGACATTTCTCACGCGGTACCAAATTGTGACAGGTGATGAAACTTGGGTGTGTCATTTCACACCAGAATCGAAACAACAATCGATGGAGTGGAGACACACTCATTCTCCGAAAAAACAAAAATTCAAAGTGACAATGTCTTCACAAAAAATCATGTGCACTGTCTTCTGGGATAGGAAAGGCGTTTTGCTTACTGAATTTCTTCCCAGAGGTGAAACCATTAATGCGGCACGATATTGTGAGACTTTAACAAAACTCGTATAACTTGTAGAGTTCCCCGCTTGTAAATGCTACGTTACAGTTGAGCGTGAGGAATCTTAAGAACTGATAAGCAAATAATCGCTTGAGTTCGTGTGACAAGAAATAACAAGATGAAAGGGTAAATGACCCTTTATTATTCAAATAAAATTTAACAAAACTCCGTCTTGGAGTGTACAAAAAGACGACACTTGGGCTTGAGCTTAAGAGGCTAAGAACTAATTAAAACTAATCTAAACCAAAGAGATATAGTCGAAGCTATCAAGATTTTAACAGAGTTGTCCCCTTAGCGCTAATTGACTGCGAAGCTATCAAGAGCCTGAGTACGACCGAGCGTAATAACAGCTTTGAGAGAGAGTAGCCAAAAAGGCGGACGCGCGGCTAATCAGAAACTCTGATTCTCTCTAACTCAGCAAGTAGAACTTTGCAGTTAAATACCGCTCCTCCTCATTATGTATTCAGACGTGATTCTAAAACTATGTTCTGGAAGAATTTGACAGGAAAGAAGCTTAACTCAAAATTTAACTGCTAATAAAATTAACATAATCATTTAACTTACAAACTTACAAATATAACGCCGAGGAACAAATGTTGGAGGTAATTAAATCAACAGTTTATCTCAATTTTAAAGTCAATCTCTTATTTTAAGTTTCAGACCTAATAATTTCAGTATTGCATAGCTAAGATTTTCGTAAACTTCTGAACTGGATGAATTATCGCGACTATAACCAAAGAGACAGTAACAAAGTGGCATTGTTAGAAAATTTACATAATTTCCAAAATTTGTTTAACTTGTAGTTGGGTTTATTTTTAAGTGGTAGGTGTTATAAGGTCAAAAGGTGGTTATAGGCTTGTTCTATCCCCCGTTCGGAACGTAGCACTGAAAACCTTCGATGTGCCAGTGGGTGTGACCTAAAAGTGTACAAACGTGCACGCACATGTGACGCTGAATTTGAAAATGGGTATTGCTTTGTAAATACGAGTAATAAGCTTATAGTGAATATGTCTTCTAAAATCGTTTACAAGTTTTTTCTTTTTCTAACGATGCATGCATGAACAGAACATTGATAATGTCAACATCCTCAAATTCACGTGATTCAAGTGGGAAATCGCTTTGCTACAAAACAAAAATGAGGCTTCAGAAAATATTGTTGCGTGCGTACTGGTTCGTAATAGATTGAATGCTCAAGTCTGATGAAAATTTAATAAAATTTATTCTTATCCCACGAAATAAAACAAAATGCTGAAATGTTTCCTCACAGATATTCGTACAATATCACAATATCACACAGTAGTTATATTTTAACCTAATAAAACGCTAAATAAAACTCAATCCGAAAACGCAGAGAAATCTAATCCGATCTCTACGCGCATTCGCTACAATCAGCAACGATAAAACTTAGTAAACAACTGAACTGAGATGTTTTTCTCCGCTTTATATAAGCTTTTTAATCATGCACGAGATCTTTCTTGTATTTTCTCGAGGATTCTGTGAGCAAAAGAGTACAATTAGAGATATCTATTTATTAAATATTAAATGCGCGTGCTGCTGTATTTTTACTTTTTCGACGTAGCTTTCTCTTAACACTTGTCACACGACGCAGTTTTCATCATCGCCTTCATGGTAAAAATAAAACGTTACAAAAATGTAGACTACTAATGCTATTCAACACAGCGGCCCTTCCGATAACGTCCTTTCTGTGTGATGTACGATTATATCATTCAGGCACTTCCCGTAAAGTCATCATCTGCGATTCTGTTTTTGTAGCACGAAGCTGTCCGCTTATTACTGTATTTCTGCTTACAAAGGCTGTTCACACATTTTTTAGACGAGGTATATTGTATTCACAAAACTAAATTACAAAAAATTCTTGTGTATTAAATGTTCTATTTGACATCCCTTATTCTGAACTATCTTTCGACACCACGATTTCCAGAATAATAATGTCTTTTGAAGTGGCAGAAGAGGTATTCTATCCCATTCCTCCCGAACAGCTTACCAGAGTCCTGTTAGGGTTTTGGGACAACGTTTAGATAATGCAGGTTTTAAAAGTACGAAAGCACAAAAATCTATAGGCGACACATCGGGAGATTTAGTAGGGATATCAATGAAGGGTATGACCTTGATACCAGTTTTTTGTTCCACATTTCGTTTACAGTGGATTTTGTTGTGTGACTACTAGCTTTGTCCTGATGGAGTCTCACAGATGGATGGCACTGTGGGTAAACCGTTGGTATTTCATTCAGAAACATTGGCGATAAAATAGGTTCCTGATAGTATTTGGAGTTAATCTTGACATTTTTTGCACTCTCTTTATTTTTAACTTGCCATTATAAGAAAAACACGCAACAATCATGAATCTCTTTAAAAAACTTTCTTTCGATTCTTTGAACCATGTACTTAAATTTTTTCTCCCCTTTTATGATAATAAATGGCTCTTTTTTTGTTACAATCATTTACATACACCCATGCTTCATCTATTGTGACAATTGTTTTCCATTTTCTTTGGATAACTGTTTCTCATATAGAATTCTGCAGCGTGTCCTGCGTTGAGCGATATGCTTTGGAAGAAGACGATGCACATTGAGTTTTTTCGCTTTCTTAAGTTTTAAATCAACGTTTATCATTTTGTTTACAGTGGACACCGAGCGTTTTAATGATTTTGCAACTGTCCTTTGACTAGGGGGATTTTCTTTTAGCATTAAACAACGTACCTTTGCAATAGTCGAAGATGTCCGTTTTTTCCTTGCGTACTTGTTTGAAATTTTTGTCCCACTTGAGGCTCCAATTTGACGTTTGTTTCCTTTCTTGTTGAAGATATTACCTATTGACGCTTTAGATATCACAAAACCATGACTCTCACGTCGTTTTTGGATAACGGAGTGTGCATATTTCTCTTCGGAAAGAGCGTAAATGTAGCCTTCGAACCACTACTTTGTTAAATTCGCCATTTTGAATAAAAACAAAAACTTTTCAAGCCACAGACGATAATTTTGACTTTTAAAAACATAGTACAATTGCAATTACGTCTTTTGAAGCAAACGATGTTTTATTACCGCATACCAAAATCGTCTAAAAAATGTGCGAACAGCCTCTGTATTACGTGCTATTTTGTTCACACCCAGAAACTTGCCGAAAAGGAAGTTGCTATCATCAGTTTTTAATTTTTTTCCTTAATCATGATTCTGTATCTTTTTTAATGTCCTTCATTAGCATATACATTTGCGCACATTACATACTAAGTTTTGGAATTTCATGAAATAATTACGCGTATTTCTGTTTGAATAAAATCTTTAAATAATGTTGTTGCATTGTGGTAAAGATCAAATGACTTCATCCATCGCCACCTGTTTACTGTAGAAGCATATTTCAGTGTAGTTTGTCTTTCTGTTAATTCGTTCTATTTTCTTTTTCTCAAGGAAAAAAAGAAATGGTTCTTCATTACCTTCCTCGGGAGCATTCTATGGATTGCTATATTTTCTTACTTAATGGTTTGGTGGGCAACTGTCGTCGGACAAACCATTGGAATTCCAAACGAGGTAAGCTTTCACGCCTCTCTCATGTAGTGTAGGTTGTGTGCAGCAACGTGTTATGCCGCAAACTAAGATGATAGCAATGAATTTTGCACAGGAATGAGTCATACCGTAAGCTAAGATGATAGCAATGAATTATGTACAGCAGTGAGTCATACCGTAAGATAATATGATAGCAATGAATTATGAACAATAATGAGTCATACCCTAAGCTAAGAGGATAGCAATGAATTATGTACAGTAATGAGTCATACCGTAAGCTAAAATGATAGCAATGAATTATGTACAACAATGAATCATACCGTAAGCTAAAATGATAGCAATGAATTATGTACAGTAATGAATCATACCGTAAGCTAAAATGATAGCAATGAATTATGTACAGCAATGAGTCATACCGTAAGATAATATGATAGCAATGAATTATGTACAGTAATGAGTCATACCCTAAGCTAAGATGATAGCAATGAATTATGTACAATAATGAGTCATACCGTAAGCTAAAAGGTTAGCAGTGAGTCATACCGTAAGATAATATGACTGTAGCTTAATTAGGTAAAAGTCTATCCAATTTCAGAAAAAGGAGAAAATCAGCGTAATAATCTACGTTCAATTTAAATGAATTTTCAACACATCGAAATGGTGTTACTGTTTTCGGTTACGTAAATACTTATCTGTCGGAAACAAACCTCACGTTATTGCCAATCAGTGAAGCAGAATACCTTTTATTTATACTTCGGCGTTATAAATATTCACTGCTCAGTGCATAATAAAGAATCATTTAAAAAGATATTTTACCATAAAGAATTTGGCAACAAGTGTTATTTTATAACATGAGTGTGATAAATAAATTACTCTCCTAAATTGTGCGCTGCAATAATCTCAGCTCTTCTACGTCTGTCTAATATAATTAGCATCAAAATTAAATCTAATGGTTAAGGGCTTTTCTAAAAAAATGCATAAATTTCAATCAAGATGAATGTATCTGACAGAATATAAAAGCAAACAGACGGAACCAAACTAAGCAGATTTTTCTAATGGAACTGCACGCTATGTTAGTGGAGGCATTGTTGGAATCAGTACGTAAGATCGCATTTGATATTTTAGTTTTAAAAAAGGCTAACTATTTAGCATCATTAAATAATTACAATCCTCAAAAATATGTACACGTTTCCTATCATATAAACTTACATCTTTAGTTATGAAAACGTGTTACATTATTTATGCGATATGTTTTATTGAAAAGATGTTATGTCTCGTGAAAATGGGTGCTGTTAAGAATCATTTAGACTGATATAATCAGGATCTTAAGAAGGCAGTTCTGTGTTCGAGGTGGAGGAAAGTTATTAAAAGTTAAAATATTGGAATATGTGTTGCGGAATTGGATTAAAATATTATTTACACTTTCGTTCGTAAATGAAAATCATAGTATGAGAGATTATAAAATACAATGTAAGTGGAGTTGGCTAAATGAATCAGGTTGGTGCTGTATTAAGCTCAAATGAAAGGATTAAAATTGTATACCAGAGCTAAAAGTAAAAGCAATTAAAACGGTTAAAATGATTATAAGTTCGGAAACAAAATCTGAATGCTTTCAGATTTTACATTACTCCCAAAGGGGCGTTTTTTTAACGTTTTCTGTGTTACCTTTATTTATTAAATATCATATATTCGCACTCAAACCATAAAATTCAATTCAACAGCAATATCGCAAAATAATTTTAAAATGAGCATTTCTTTAGAATTTCGGATACACAGCATCGCGCGCTGGAGATAAAAATATTTTCTTTTCGTACAGTGTTGCCATTGCTCGCTTTGAAATCATTGAGTTTCTTAATAAAAAATTCGTTAAGTGTTACAAAATATGAAATCGATAATGAAACAAATTCCAAATTTCCAGATGTCCATAATGGATTACGTTATTCAAAATTGGATGGCTCTAGGTACCGTTGCTTTATCACAATAGAGAGGAACATACATACATTCATGCAGATTCTTCATTATTTAATTTCTTTAAATCTAATATTTGGTGGCAACAGTTTGAAATGTAAATCAACGCAGAAAGTGAATAGACGCAAAATGCCAAAACGAAATTAATCGCCCTTCTGAGCTGAGGCTAATAAAAATATATCAATAAAATAAACTATAAAGAGAGGAATTGAAGACCAACTGGATAAAATTGTTGAACACTGGGTTCCTCACTTCTGGTTCGGTACTGAAAGTGCTGGTCCTAGAAATTTCTTTGTACATAATGATAATAATAATAAATAATATTAATGTAAATAATAAAAAATGTAATATTGTAGATGACTTTTGGTTTGCCTTATAAGAAATTAGATTACGTTATTCAAAATTGGATGGCTCTAGGTACCGTTGCTTTATCACAATGAGAGGAACATATATACATTCATGCAGATTCTTCATTATTTAATTTCCTTAAATCTAATATTTGGTGGCAACAGTTTGAAATGTGAATCAACGCAGAAAGGGAATCGACGCAAAATGCCAAAACGAAATTAATAGCCCTTCTGAGCTGAGGTTAATAAAAATATATCAATAAAATAAATTATAAAGAGAGGAATTGGTGACCAACTGGGTAAAATTGTTGAACACTGGGTTCCTCACTTCTGGTTCGGTACTGAAAGTGCTGGTCCTAGAAATTTCTTTGTACATAATGATAAATAATAAATAATAATAAAAATGTAATATTGTAGATGACTCTTGGTTTGCCTTATAAGAAATTAGACATATTATTAGTTAATTAGCTTCGAAAAAGGTAATAATGTATAATTAGCAATGGTCAGTGCATTTAAAATGGCAGTGATGGAAAGGACAAGGTTACTATGGAATCAAAAATAGTATAAGCCCCTAAGGACTTAAATGAAGAGCATAAGAATAGTAACTGACAACTATTAAAATTTAATATTGTATTTAAAAATCTCGGAATGTTTAAGAATGAGAGAAAACATTCTATGGGAAATTAAGTGAAAAATATAATAAGTAAAATCAAAAGCGGTATTATGATCGAAAACTATAAGAAATGAGTTAAAATTAAGAATGAGCAGAAAATTACAGATATTAAAAATAAAAAAAGAAGTTAAAAATTACAACCATTAAGTTAAAGTTATATGCAAGAAATAATTCTAAATTCAGAGTGTGTTGAGGATTAGAAAGTATGTGTGTATTGTGTGTATTGAGAATACGGCAAAGCACACTAGGGCTATCTGCCTAAGGGGAGGGATACCTTTCGTGGAGGACTTTCTAAGAGAAACTGGCTCGTGTACACGTTACACATGGGGGAAACCACGAAAACGCCCATGCAGTCAGCCCGTTCGCGGGATTCGAACCTCGGACCGAACTACCAGTGTTCAGCGATTTTACCGCTCGGCCGCTGGTGTGCCCGATTAGAAAGTATGAAAAAATTCAAAAGATAAATTTCCTAACAATTAAATAATTTAAATAATGTAATACAGAACCTATTTCTGAAAAATTACGCTCATAAAATTTAACAGGTTGAAATTCAAAGCATGTTGAAAGTTAAAAAGGTTAAAATGTACGAAAGAAGTTAAAAATTACATCTAAAATTAAAATGAAAGTCTTTTGTGTGTTATATTTATTTATTAAATATCATGTTCTACGTACTCAAACCATAAAATTCAGTTCAACAGTAATATCGCAAAATAATTTTAAAATGAGTATATCTTTAGATTTCTCGATACACAGTCTCGTGCGCTGGAGATAATTTTTTTTTTCGCACAGCGTTGCCATTGCTCGTATTGAAATCTTTGAGTTTGTTAATTAAACATTCGTTGAAGTGTTACAAAAATATAAAATCGATAATAAAACAAATTTTAAATTCAAATTAGGGCTTACACATGCCCATATTCTATGGAACATTACGTTATTCAAATTTTGATGGCTCTAGGTACCATTGTTTTATCACAGTGCGAGAAATATATGTTACGGTGAAACACCGAAATCTGGAGAATGTCGACTTTCACCGGTGAATGACAACATTCACATTGTCGCTTGGTGCATGTCCGAAATATTTTCCGAATACTCTTATTTCTGACTTACACCGGTAAATGTCGACATTCACCATGTGCTAATGGTGAATGTTGAACATATAAGAATATTATATATTCTTCTCCGTAATTCAGTCTCGAAAAAACGCACTTGAGACTTAAAATGAGAACTTAAGAACATAAAACCTTAAAACACACAGTACATTCAAAATGAGAAAGGAAAATAATAAAAGTTAAAAACTTACTAAATTACGTGATTCAAATCTTATTTATTGCAACAACTTAAACTATTATGACACTTTCAATTGCACAAGAGGCCCTTGCTTTTACAACTGCATTTATTTGTGGAACACTTCCTTTTGCAATGACAGCATGTACATAAACTCCTCTCTTTTCGAACTACACCAGAGCATATCTGTGATCGTCGACATACACCGGTGAGGGTCCGAATATACAAGAATGCAATGCAATATTCGATCTTTCACCGACGTATTTGGTGAATGTTGACATTCTCCGGTGAAAGTCGACATTCTCCAAGTTCGGTCTTTGTCAGTAACATTCATGCAGATCCTTCATTGTTGAATTTCTTTAAATATAATATAGGGCCATAATATTTGGTGGCAACAGTTTGAAAAGTGATTCGCGTTTATAGGTTTCAACGCAAAATGCCAAAACGAAATTAATATTCCTTCAGGGCTAATTGTCCCTTAAAAATTGCCTTTGACTAAAAAAAAATTAACTTCTAGGTTCTTCATTCTTAGCACTGCCCTGAAACAAAAATTATGCAGCAATACATGCTAGAATTCCAGAATGTAAGCAGAAAAGATTATATTTAAACATTTGCCTCGATTAAGATCACTTCTTATAAGCAGTAATAAAATAATTAGAAGAAAATATACTTCGATTTGAAAAACCACAGAACTCTCTGGACGACACAACATGTCATCAAGTGCGGAAGCATTTCACAATGATGATATTTAA